GCGGCCCTTCGGTATCCAGCTCGCTAGTTAGCTAAAGCGCAATCAGCTCGCTATCTAGCTGGAGCACGACCGATCTCCTAGAGATCAATTTTTCTCCATTTGGAGAAAAGGAAAAAAGGCATTCCGCCGCAAAGCCCTCACAGCAAGGCCGCCGAGCGACCCCGAACACCCGGGTCTGTGAAAAGCTCCCAAAGGTAGAACAGTTTCTGCCGTGGCGCCTGATACCCACCGATCTTCCTCCTCTCCGAACTTCACCTCCGAAGAGACCGATCGCCTGGGACCGACCGCTGACACCATCCTACACCCCACGGCAGCTAAGTGTGTCTACGCAGACGCAAGTGGACAAAGTCGACTGCGGCACCCAGACCAGGGCTCGACAGAGGGCCAGGAAACGAGGAACGAAACCCTCCACCGTAGAACGGGCCTGCCAAGCGGAGGACACACGCCCGGCTTCAACAACGGAAGCAGCCGTCCAGACGAGCGACCGAGGATCTTCGTCGTTCTCGCCGCAGCGGTTCCAGGGCACCGACTGGCGGCTAACCACGGCCAGGCCCCGCATTTTCTGAAAGGAGAAAGCCTAAAAAAAAAGGCTCTTTTCAGGGCCCCTTCTTATAAAAACCCAAAAATACATCTTGTACATAGTGTAAAATAAAAGTCTTCTTTCCATTATAGAAAGAACTTTTAATACACGCCTATCACATCCACGATCCTCGCTGCCATCACTACCTCGCCGTCTTCTCGCATAGTTGCCTCATCCAAAGGTCTCTAACGTCGATATCCAGTACTCTCTTAACCAGTTTTCTATAAAACTTATAGTTTCCAAGTTATTCAGATGGTCTGTTTTAAGTGTCTCATCCTATATACAGAGTGATTCAGAACAACCCGTTATTCTTGAAAATACATATTCTTGACTAAATTCTAAGACTTTTTGTTTAAAGCTTACTTTTTGAGTTATTAATAATCATAGGTGACCCACCACAAGTCGGATACAAAAGGTAGGCAGAGGCGGCGCAACTCACCGTGATTGACAATAATTTATATAATACAAAATTACGAATTAATAAATAAATAAGTGAGAAAAAGAGAAACAGAGAAAGATATTGAAACAATGTTTAGCAATCAGCTGATCGCACCACACGTAATCGCCTGCGTCTGACGGTGAGTTGCGCCACCCGTGCCTTTTGTATCCGACTCGTGGTAAGTCAACTATTTTTATTAGTAACTCAAAAAGTAAGCTTCAGACAAAATTTTGCCAAATAAAAAGTTGTCTTAGAATTTAATCAAAAATATGTACTGTTATAAGTTATATATTAGGTGTATATTAAGTTATGTGTTAAGTATTATATAGTAAGCGATATCGGTTAAATTCGGGGTTTGGTTACTAGGTTTAATGTTACGTTAAACGGGCGACTGGAATCCGGCACGGATGTCCAGTCAGCGGTCGCGGGGCGATATGCGACCGCGTGCACAAGGACGCACCGGTCGAAGGTCGCACGTGCAGCTGAAAAGATGCATGGTTTGCATTGCACTTTTCGAAGGCCGGATGTCGCCTGGTTTTCCTCGGCCAATCACAGAGTGATTGACTTGGGGATATAAGCCGGTATCCGGGCGGAAACAGGTAGAATCGTTCCAAATAGTGTTGCCGCCGGAGGCTCTGCTAGACAGAGCGTCGCTCGTCCGACTTCGCGCCGCGTGTGCCATCGCGGGTGAAATAAGTGAACATCGACATAAAATAAAAGCCATAATATATTTTACGCTATCAAAATATTGTAGTAACAAAACTGAATATAAAAGTTAACAGTTGTGGCAACAAAGCTGTTTTATTTAATGGAGTGTAACCCTTCCAGACGTTCCCTCTCCTTGCGGCATCCAGTGAATCCCACGGGGTGACAGTACTTTCAAGGATAACGGGTTGTTCTGAGTCAATTTATATATATATATATATATATATATTATATGTAATGTATAAAATTAAAGAAGAACGGAGAAATATTTGAATTTGACATGTTGCTTTAGTCGATGCAGAACTTAAACCTAAGAACTTTCTATAGTATTAATGAGTTAGAAATACCTTTGTTTTTAACTATAGACAAAAAAAATACATTAGTACATATAAATGTGACAAGATGTAATGTATTATATGTATTTTTCTACCGTTTTTTATGTAAATAAACAATTTTATAAAAAGATCTTAAAATTGTTTTTTAATAAATTCTCTAGAAAAAAATATCACCGAAAATACTCATAGTCTAATCTTAGTCTACGTTTCAAAATATTCTTATCGCGCGCGCGCACGCACACATAGCTCGTATAAATTTCAAAGGTCATTCATTTTTCTGTAATCACTTTTGTAATTAAGGTGACTAACATCTGTAAGAGATCTCTATTTTATTGTGTGTGTGTCCAACTGTTTATTCTCGCCATAAGAAATCTCTCAAAAATAAACATGAGATTGTAGTTTTGAAAATCTTAAGAGGGTACTGGATACCGACTATAGAAACCTGTAAATCGACGTTTTAGAAACCTAAATTTCTCTAATTTCCAATTTTGTGTACTGCGTCACATGAAAAATGCTTCTATAGAAGCAAATAAATATAAAAAACTACACATTGCTCTTGAAAATGGGCATATAATGCTTTGTTTTCATTCACATATAAATAGCATATGATAACCTATATGCTAGCCTGTCCTATATGCTCCTGCCCCTGTCATCACGAGAATCGCTTTTTCTCGTCAACTACACATTCCAATCATAATCGGAATGTCTTATCGTATTCTTTTTTGTCGTACTTTTATCGCTAGCTTCTTCTTCTTCTTTGCTTATATGGCGCACGCTCCTGCGCGAGAGGAGCAAAAGCCAGTCTGAGACCGCATGTACATTACGAGTTATATAGGGAAGTTTGATTTCAAGTGACGTATCAGCCACACTGTTACTCCATCCTTGTTTTACACACGACGCGCAACAAGGACAGAACGTCGCAACAGCGCAGACAGCGCTCTACTCGAACGTAGCCACGGAAGGTATATGGAATTGGTAAGTGAGGTTTATATGTTTACGTTGGTAGTGTTTACGAATGAGAGGAGAGCGAACATGGCGCGAAAACACTTGGAAAAAGCGACCTCCTCCACACTATAAGGGGGGCTAAAGCCATTGTGGAACAAATCTATTATTAGCTTATCTGAGTGAATCTTATAATTAGGACAATGAAAGAATATATGATTGATATATTGAGACGGGTGTCCACACGAACACTTCGAAGAGGTCACTATTCCCTTTTCCCTTAAATGAGCATTTACTGCTGTATAACGTGAACGTATTCTAGATATTAGTGTAACTAAAGGACGAGGCAGAAACTTCTTTTTTTTAACCCTAATAAACCACGGTTTGTTCAAGGGTACGGGTTTACGTTGGAAGTACCTAACTCCTTTGTGGGTCGCATCACTGAGTAACTTCTCTCTGGCCAATCTTACTGTATCGGACCGAAGGGAAGGGAACAGCGAGGAGACCTCCAACTCGCTTCCAAAGCTAGGTTCTGGAAGAGCCAAGGAGAGTTTTGCGTACTTATCTGCCTTCTCGTTGCCCAGGACACCACAGTGCCCGGGGACCCACACCAGCTTGATTGACACGCCATCGTCCTTAAGTCCAAGGACCAACTCCTTTATTTGATACACTAACGGTGAATGGACACCTCTAAGGTCCGTTGATCCAAGGCACATGATCACGCTGAGTGAGTCCGACGCGATCACAACCCGAGGAAACCCAAAGTCTTTGAGGTACTCCAGCGCACAAATAACGCCGCGGACTTCCGCGTCAAATATAGTGGAATTACTGTTTATGCGTTCATAATGGACGAGATCGGGTTCGTCTGAGACCACAGCAAAGCCAACTGCTGGTGGTGTTTCATCCGATCCCGGGGAAAGAGACCCGTCAGTGAAAAATATCCTGGTAAGGCCATGGTCCCTGAAGAAACCTTCGAGATACTGCTGGGGGTTTTCGGCCCGACGCGCAAGGAAGCCAGTGTTGGTGTCAGTGTCACATTTGAAGAACCTAACGTGGTACGGGAGGCCGAGGCTACCCGGGAGTGAGAACTTTGCGACATCTTTAACAATGTGCTGGAGTTCCCGATACACCGTAAAAAGACCAAACGCGTTGTCAGCACAGATAGGTTCCCAAGTCTCGACAGTGCTCCTCAGTAGCCGTCCCAGAGGATGGCTTGACCTAGCGCAAACCCTGCAAACATATTTGCTAATAAGATACTTGTGTCTATACTGTAGGGGTTGTTCGCCTACCACATCTAGTAACACATTTGTCGGTGTAGTGCGCATAAGGCCACACACAACCCTGGCACAGGAGAACTGCAGGCGGTCAAGTACTAGCTCTTCGCGTGACCCGAGAGGGTAGGTTACGTGGCAACCCCACTCTAGAACGGACCTGACCAGTCCCTTATACGCGGTTAACAAGACGATAGGGTGTGTTCCCCACTTTATTCCTGCCAACACCTTAAGAATATTTATACGAGGGAGGACTCGTTTCCTCATCTCGGCCATGTGCTTTTTCCATTTCAGGGAGTAATCTACGTAAACTCCTAGAAACCTAACTGTCCACTCGATGTTAAGTTTAGTTCCTGCCAAGGAAATGTTCACGTTCTTCTTCTTTAGGAGCCACTTCATGTTCCTTAAAGGGCACAGTGAGTAAAACGTAGCCACAGACTTGCTGGGTGACACTTGGAGTCCTAGGGTGGTTAGGTGTGACTGTACTTGGTCGAGAGCGGTATTTAGTTGCTGAGCAACAAACGAAACAGAGGGGTTGGAACAGAAAATCACTACATCGTCAGCGTAAATAAGGGCGTTTACAGATGCCGGTAGACAGGCTTCGACACGAGACATGTAAATATTAAACAGTGCGGGACTCAGGACAGAGCCCTGCGGCAACCTTCGTTCCGTGTTTCGGGTCTGAACATAGACTCCCGATGCGTATCCTTCTAACTTCCTGAGACTAATCACTGAGATCAAGAAAACTACCATTCGGGGGGGGACCCCGAAGAAAGAGAGCATGGTCAGCAGTGTCGATGGCACGACATTGTCGAACGCCCCCTCGATGTCAAGAAAAACGGCACCTGTAACCTGTCTGGAGTTATTAGCCGCTTTTATCTTAGACACAAGCATGGACAGACTATCAGTACAGGAGAGGCCTCGTCTAAAGCCAAACTGGTGGGGGGAGAGAATACCGTTATTTTCAATCCACCATTCAAGTCGGCGACACATTACTTTCTCCATTACTTTGAGGAGGTTATTTGCTAGAGATATGGGTCCGTATGCTCCCTTGCGTCCCGGCTTGGGAATAAAAATGACAAAGTAGTTTTTCCACGCAGTTGGATAGACCTGTCGAGAATACATTAGATTAAGAAGACTGATTATGTACACATGGAGGGCCGAGGGGAACTGGGTGATAATGAAGTTCGTGATTAAGTCTGGGCCAGGGGCCGACCGGATTTTAAGGGACTTTATCACGGAATAATACTTCTCAGGAGTAATCTGGCTATCCATATACTCATTGCTAAGGTTGGTGTTTAGCTGATTCAACGATTCCAGAAAAGTGGGGTGGTTCTGAGGGGGAGGGGGGTCACATGAGGCAATCTTATCGAATGCCTTCTGAAAGCCCTCAAGGTCAAGGCAATTTTTGTTACTCTCGTTTCTGGGTTTATTGCGTGCACAAGAAAAGGCCTTGACCGTGTTCCAAACCGACCCAACATCAGAATTGGCGTGTAGAGAGCCACAAAAAATCCGAAAGGCTTGGCGTTTCTTTTTTCTTAAGGCTTTAGACACCTCTTTAGCCACTTGACAGTAGTTATCTAGGTTATTGATGTTGGGATGAGAACGAAACTGAGCAAAAGCGGCCCTCTTCCGAGAAAAAACCTCAGAGCAAGAAGCGTCCCACCAGGGTGTGGGGGGTCTTCTAGAAGACTTAGAGGTGGTTGTGCAAACTGCACCCGCACTCAGAAGTGCCTCATCTACGAGAGACACTAACCGAACGTAGGTACTATCTACATTTGTCGTGGTGTTTAACGGAGGGAGGGAATCCACGCCTTCTTGGCACAAGGATTGAAACTTACTCCAATTAACTTGTTTAACAGAGTAATAGGACCGACACGCAATGCGGTCAGAAAACCTATCCGAGACAGAAGTGACCACTGGGAAGTGGTCGCTACCGTAATGGTACTCACACACTCTCCAAGAGCACTGGGGGGCCAAAGTGCCAGAAACGAAAGTGAGGTCTATCGCGGACCGCCTGGAGAGGTCGGCAGAGGATCACGTATTACTACCATCGTTGAGAACCACCCAAGAAGAGTTCATTAACGCATGTTCTATGTTTTTCCCTTCTCTGTTAGAGAGGGGGAGTGTGGTGCACCACAGCGGACTCTTTCCGTTGAAATTACCACATATTATAGCAGGTTGGAATTTGGAGCTTAACTGGAAGAAAGTTTGCCAGAAGGAGGGTGACGTGTAGTTTGAAGAAACCCTAGATGAGTTATATAACGAAAAGATATAAAGAGACTGAAACTTAGAGAGAAACAGTTCTAAAACTACGAGTTCTACGCTATTTTCTACGCAGAGGTCAAGTAGCTGAGGAATTTATGGAACACGAAATCTAATATGTTTAGCAACGGCGATGGCAACTCTATCCCCGTGACGATTGCGGTCGTGGGATATTATTTCGTGGTTTGGGAAAGTGACTATGGAGTTACCATCGAGGTAGGTTTCGCAGAACACAGCAACCTCCGCCATGCAGTCCTGGAGTAGCAGACGCGCCGCATCAAGATTGCGGACCAAGGACCTGCAGTTCCATTGGACTACAGGGAAAGGCTTCATTAAATAATACACAGATAACAGTAGTGAATTTAACTTTGTGAACCGAGAGTACCGTAGAGGTACCTAAGTAATTCCGTGACAATATTTTGCATGTCATTATTGCTTAGTTGCGAGATGTTTGTACTAGGAGTGACGTTGAGTTTTTGAAACGCAGAAATAAGTAACTCTTTATCAGAAGACGGTGAAGAGGGTTTATCCTTAGAAGGGTTGTTGCTCGAAGATATTTTTTTGGAGATTGAATCAATAAGAGAATGATTAAGTGAGGCTCGTTTAGTTGAGGGTGAAGAGGGGGAAATAACTTTTTCGTTACTACCTCTCCACCTAGGAGCAAAGCGAGCAAGTGGAGGAGGTTTTAGGGAGACAACCTCCGCGTAAGACAGGTTAGATGTAGGGGAAGGGTCGTGCAGACGACCCCCCGAGTTCCCGGGAGTGAGGGGAGACCTAACCAACGGAGAGGGTACCTTCGGGTTGGCTTTAGTCACCCTCTGTGAGAAAGGGGAACCTGATCTGTCAGTTCCAGAGAAACGGAAGACGCCGTTTCCAGGTAAAAACTCCCCTAGCGTAAGAAGGGGTACTGAAACACTGGTCGGATTAGACTCCAAGCCAGAAAGAGTGTTTCCGCTGTCACAGAGACCGGCTGCATCCCGGAAGGAAAGGTCTCTGTAAGCCATCAGTTTATGAATTTCACGTTGCCTCTGGAAAACAGGGCAGCGGAGCTCAGACGCTTGATGGCCGGTGTTACCGGCCTTAGACCGGATGCAATTTATGCACTCATCAAGGACATTAGGGCAGTCTGGTTTAGCATGGCCAGACTTGCCGCACTTCTCACAAAACCTGCGTCGGTCGTCACCGGACTGCTTGCACGAATGTACAGTGTGACCAAACCTCTGACAGAACTCGCAACGCCTGACCTTATAAACATAGGGTGTTAGCGGGAGCCTTTTCCCCACGTACAGGCACGACCAAGGGACCACTGGGGTGCGGAACCGCAAAATAAACTGGTTGGTACTCACATACTTCGGGATGGAAGTGGGAACAACATAAAGAACAATAAGGAGCTCTCAGAAATGCGTTTCAAAGTTTAAGGTAAATACATAGTGTGCTGAAATATTTACGAAAATGATCCTGTACTTCTAACACATTATATTCATTTACACTAAACTTCTAAACTAATTTCCATCCGGGATACAGTTTGTTTTCTACGTATAAACTGCACAACTTTTTATATTAAGCAAATATCACACTACAAACTGACGTAAAAAGTCGACTTGAGACCCAAAAATCGATTATCCACTGATGGCGGTGGTATCAAACACAATGGTCTGGTTTATACCATACATCTTGTTGGTACTCGAATCAAATAAAATTTGTTTTTCAATGTATAATTTTGGTGTTTACATTATTATAAATGTGCTTGATACGCGTACCATTTTGATATGATACGCGTAAAGAAGACGTATCGTACCAGTTTAATATGACAACGTTTACATTATTGAGACTAAGCCGATTTAATACGAATATAGTACTTAATATGCGTATTAAATGATCGGTGTAAACTACGCCAATAATTCAACTCACAATGTATGACATCCGTATTTGACTTTCTTTCGTTGCTAGCATACATTAACTGTCATTGTGCTGACTTGTTAGACAAGTGTATACTTGCTTATTCTTATCATTTACTTTTATTATGTAACCAACTAGTTATTCAAAATGTTTTATTGATTGTAATATTATTCTTTAGTTTGGCTGAAGATGATCTAAACAAATAAATACAGATCAAAACGTCCCGTAACGACATTGTGAGTTGAATTATTGTTTGATATCATCAGTAGACAATCGGTTTTTAGGTCCCTTTTTTAATTGTTTTAATTACAAAACTGTTCTTTAACTATTTATTTATTTGAAAATCTTAGTTTTTTAAGAAATCATAGTTTTAAAAAACTAGCTTAATGATATAACACGTTGTATATAACTGGTCAACACAAGTTTTGTAATTATAAACAAAAAAAAGATCCAAATTATCCAAAACTACAAATTAAATTGAAATGAATCTAGAGAAGTTTGTTTCAAAATAAAGTGAACGAAATGTTCTAAACTAAATGTAATGTCTTTCACCTTCAAATTTCTCATGTACAGCAGTGATTGATTTAGCTACCTTTAGGTTTATTGTAAAATAAGTTTTATAATACCAAAATTTATTTTACTAAAAATAGATTGAAGAAAACCTATTACTACATTGTTAATCTCTAAGTTTGAGGTAATGATCATAGCACTTTAATGAACAAAAGTAACATGAGAATATTAGTGGCCTGTCTATCGGTACTGTGCTACTTTGACATACTGTAGTTAGAGGAAGTCTATTTAAAGCTTGGAATGCATGTAATAATGACTTGAACTCCTTTATATTAGAATTAAAGCAAAGATCCCGGCATACACAGCAAAATTTGTCACTGTCCAAGTATCTGCCCAATATAGATGGTAAATGATTATATGGTATCCTGCAAAACAATAAATTTATTCTCATTTTATAACTGTTAAATTAGTAATGTGTGTATATAAAAACACAGTAAAAAATAAAATATACAACACCTATGTTTTTTCACTGCTTTAGCTGCTAAATCCAAAAGGCTCACCACTTGTGAATAATTTGAGAAAGATAAATTGAAAGAGTATAGATCATCCTCGCTTCTGATTTTAAAAGGATTGTTTGCAGCATCTAAATGGTCCAATTCCATTCCCCTCATACTCCCTGATAAATATGACAGTAGGTTTGTCGACAAATCTAACCTTGCTAACTGTTGTAAAGTTCCGATAATTTGCGGCACTTTTGTTAACAAATTTTGGGAAACGTTTAAGCATATTAAATTCTGTAGCTTTCCAATTTGCAGTGGCAATTCAGTGAGCTAAGTGACAATAATAAATAACAATAAATAATGAATTATTAATTACTATAATAAAAAACTATAAAATTTTGGTTTACATGTAAATCTACCAGTTATATGTGCCGTCTTATAGTTTATAATATGACAAAACTTACATTATTGTTACTTATGTCTAATTCTTTCAAGCTCTGTGAAATAGCACAGTTTGCTCCATCCATTCCCATTTAGCGATCTCTAAACAAGTGTTTCCAAGGCAATTGTGTGATAAAAGAAGTTTTTCAAGATGAGGCAAAGCACCTAACTTCTTTGGCAAAAATGAAATCTGATTGTTTGATAAGTCAAGAACTCTTAGATCATGTAAATTAAAAATAATTTAAGGATCAAGTTCCATTATGTTCAATTTGCGTAAAATAAGTTCTTTTGTTGTTCTTGGGAAACCTTTTCTAGGTGGATATTTTCTTTTTCTTCCATCAATTTTTGTGTTTCTTAATGTAACATTAGATTTAACATTAGATGAAAGTTTGTAAAATGAGTACCACCTTCCAACAGACATCATACACACAAGTTTAGTAAATTTATCAAGAGAAACATCATCAGTACTTTGAATTACAAGATTGTGAGATGGATTTATAAAACATAATGTAACATTGTTGATGTGCTTTTTTTTTGAATTTGAATAACGCAAGTTTATACCCTCTAAGTTTTTACTGAAGTCACTAAGACTTCTTGTACTAATCTGAAAAAGAAACTTGCTCATTTAATTGATATAAATAAGTACAATTCTGAAAATTTAAAGGAAAAAAAATATATTTAAAGAAAAAAAAATATTTAAAGGAAAAAAAACACAAACACTGTAAATTCTGTTTTAGAATTGTTTAGTAATTACTTATGTATTGAGTGAGTGCAAGAAGTTGCGTCCAATTTATCGTTAGTTTTAATGATAAATCAGATATAAACTTTGTACTCACACAATATGTCAAAATTTATTTATCTAAAGAGAAGAGAATGTACATAATCTATAATCATATATATATATATACATTACCAAATATTTGACTTGATTCTCTTTTTCTGTTTTCCAAAGTAAATATGCTTCTATTTTATAAGAGTCTACTTTTTTCTCAAATGACAGTACAGTTGCGATGTTGTTGAATAACATAACTCTTTGTTGTGTAATTGAACAGTGCAATTGAACATCTTCATTTTATATTATCTTTCTGGCTTGTGTGTTAAAATAAAGGTATCAGCATTATATCCATCAAATATATAAAATGCAGTGATTTACTAACTGGTACTTATATGTATATATTTGTAAAACCTATTCGTCAATATATTAAAACAAAGTAAAATACAGAGTGTGATAAAAATTTAGCGTTTGTTAAATGTGTTTTTGATCTATTTACAGTTTATTTTTTCTAGGCAACTACATATGTACCATTTATCTAGCCTACATTTTAAATATCCTAATTATTTACGGTTTATCTTGTTCCTCTTTCCTTGCTCATATATATTATTTATCGATATTTTATATCACTTATTGCTTACTTTTCGGCGAACCACGCTTGAACACGCATGATCAAAAGTCAGCTTCCAAAAGATCCAGATGATGATCCACGTGAATTCAATTCAATTTAATTCAATATCGTAATGATATGCTTTGGTCACGAAGTAAGAATAAGGAGACCTAACTGGATAGATTAAAAGTGGCTATGAAAAATGCATATATGTAATACTCCTATATTGCTCGTTTGGCTTGAAAAGTTCCGAAAATATCACGATACAGACAATGGGTGTGTTTTGCCGAAGTTAGCGCTACGTAGCGGCTTCACGTAGCAGTTGCAACTGCTGCGTTACTTCTGCTGGACAGTAGATCCTTAGGCCGCCGTGTAACGCCGCCGCCGCCATATAAGGTAAAAGTACCTATTACGAAACTTGTCCTATTTTCGAAACAGGTTGACGAATAATGAAATTTACATAAAATTTTTATGTACATAAGTAAATAAAAAAATTGTATTAATATGTACAAAACTAAAACTATATATGTATACAAAAATAAATATTTTTTAAAATTATTTAATACTAGAAAAAAATGNTTACTAATGCAGGTTTTCAGATCCACGAAAATTGGTTATTGTCTGTGTCAAAAAAGCTGACACGTTCGATAAGTTTGCTCAATTATATTTATGCATTTAACTGATATCACAACAAAAAGCAATCTATCACATGATAGTTTAAGATCCATAGTTATGACTTTTTTACAAATCTTTTCAGTTTTTATGTGATTTTATTTATTAAATATCCGTTTCGTATTTTGTACGTCGGTTTTGTACCATGTCCGTATTTATGAAACGGTAGAAAGAGAATGTTTCACAATCGACGTTCCTTATTTTTCACTTGTACCGATTAATGAAACATGTGTGTGCTGTAACTTTTATTGTCGAAATACTTAGTTTATTTAAATGATTTTGCATATTGGAGTGAAAATTACAATTCTTTTATACAT